ACTTACCATTATGTGTATAGTGTACAGACTTACCATTATGTGTATAGTGTACATACTTACCATTATGTGTATAGTGTACAGACTTACCATTATGTGTATAGTGTACAGAGTTACCATTATGTGTATAGTGTACAGACTTACCCCGACTTACCATTATGTGTATAGTGTACAAACTTACCATTATGTGTATAGTGTACAGACTTACCCCGACTTACCATTATGTGTATACTGTACAGACTTACCATTATGTGTATACGGTACATACTAAGAGTGTCATCCAATCATTTTTTAAGAACGCTGTCGCATGAAAATCAATCCCATTAATTATGTGTAAATATATACATCAGTGGTGAACAAAGTTTGTGTGAGACTTGCTGATATATATGCACATACTGAAGGGAAATGGAAGACTTAAGCATGACAGGAGGGATATATGAGTAATGACAACCAAATTAACATCCCCTGTTTTCTCACAATGTGGGGATAAATAGCAATATTAAACAACAACTAAAGGTAGGATATCAAAATGTATAGTAACAGATACCCATAATCCTATATGAACAATTTAATCTGTGATGACTGTTGACTTTCTCCAAACCTTACCCTCAGCACTGGAGTTCTCATCAAAGATTGGTTTCAGAGATCCACTAAAGTAGAGCATAACATTCTTCTCTATCAGCCCCGTGTCAAATGGACAGAGATGGGTATTTTTGTCGTACACACTGAAAAAGTAGTCAATATATTCTTTACAACGGATTCCACACAGTTAAATAAGCGGCAAGGTCCAAGCAATGAGCTATACAAACATTACATAGGACAACGTATAACAAAAGGTCCAAGCAATGAGCTATACAAACATTACATAGGACAACATATAACAAAAGGTCCAAGCAATGAGCTATACAAACATTATATAGCACAATGCATAACAAAAGGTCCAAGCAATGAGCTATACAAACATTATATAGGACAACGTATAACAAAAGGTTGAAGCAATGAGCTATACAAACATTACATAGGACAACGTATAACAAAAGGTCCAAGCAATGAGCTATACAAACATTATATGGGACAACGTATAACAAAAGGTTCAAGCAATGAGCTATACAAACATTATATAGGACAATGTATAACAAAAGGTCCAAGCAATGAGCTATACAAACATTATATTGGACAAAGTATAACAAAAGGTCCAAGCAATGAGCTATACAAACATTACATAGGACAACGTATAACAAAAGGTCCAAGCAATGAGCTATACAAACATTATATGGGATAACGTATAACAAAAGGTTCAAGCAATGAGCTATACAAACATTATATAGGACAAAGTATAACAAAAGGTCCAAGCAATGAGCTATACAAATATTATATGGGACAACGTATAACAAAAGGTTGAAGCAATGAGCTATACAAACATTATATAGGACAATGTATAACAAAAGGTCCAAGCAAAGAGCTATACAAACATTATATTGGACAAAGTATAACCAAAGGTCCAAGCAATGAGCTATACAAACATTATATAGGACAACGTATAACAAAAGGTTGACAATATAATCTACTTTGTTACGTCAACTACATAAAAACCAACACCACCTACGTGGTATGCAGTGACTGCAGCTTTACAATAACTAGGTCCAACATCCCTATGAATAGAGAATTTTTTGCACAATAAATCATTTTTAAAATCGAAACTAGAATTATGTCAGTGTGGCATTACAGCCGCTCACCATTTTAAATTTAATTGCTTCAGTGACACGTTGAGCATAAAAATCTACTATAATAACTCAGATATGTGTTCTGTATTCTGCTAATTGAAAATCAGGTCATCTGATGATGTTGCGTTTAGGATTTTCAAAATCAATCACCTCTTAAATGATGCCTTAAAAACATTTCTCCCTCTCCTCTTTTTTCACCCTCTTTAAGTGTGACGCATTGTTGTAATTTTCATTAATTAGCATCCTCCAATGATGTGACATGAGCGTTTACGTGCAGAATGGCAATCGTTGAATGGATAATAAAGAATAGGTGCATTTTTTGCTTGTGAAATGAAGGATAATTAACAGTAGTGGGAAAACATGCATGGAGAAAAGAGACATTGTACTCTTTTTATTTTTATTTATTTTTTATTCATATTAGTGAAAATCATTAATATTTGTAGCGACTATATTTACCGTCATTGAATATACAAAATCTCACAAATGTTCTTGGAATATATTTGAATTATATTTCCCAATGCGACTTCACCAACGTAAGAGTTATTTCCCTTACACCCAATTGGATACTATTTTGACACGGCGCGAATTCTTGTCAAACAGCAGCGGCAGTTGTCATGTTCTTAAATTGTTACACTTTCATAAATAGATACACCAGAAATAGCATGCTGTGTTACACAAATGTTTGATAAGCATACACAGTTCACCTATCGTCTCGTCTCGGCGCCATTAGTCTACCGTTATCAACCTAAGCACGATATGGCATATATATGTTACCGTTTCAAACATCAAAATAAAGTTTATACTTCATCACTCATACGGTTTATAAGTTTATATATTTACTTCTTCCTTCTACAGACAGCGTCAATGCTTGACAGGTTTCACATGTGCTTTCTCGAATCATATGTATTTCATACGCGTAACACTCGCCAGACCGCAATCCGAGTTGCTAAAACGCTCAAACCTAGTGCACGAATTTCACCACCACAACACTCGTAGAATGCACAGGAGATAAACATTTTGTTTTCAGCAATTATTTAAAGTATGGATTATTATTTGGAGAAGAGTATCAGAAGCCTTTGTGTTACCCACAGGTGAGTGTCAGAGATTCTACTTTCTATTTACAATAACGAAACTATATAGCGGAAGCATGCAATACTGAATTATGCGCACGCACCCCGAACGGAAGTGGGTCTGTCATTTCGTTTGGTTAACAAAATGAACACTTACCTAAAGTTAGTGATTTTATGCTGTGGCCGTTCATCGTAACTGTTGATATTCTCCTCATCCCCCGTAAACACAGACAACTTTGGGTTTGTCAATGCTATAAACTCTTCCACCTATAGAAAGACAGGGATAAATTAGAGCAACATGTTGAATATAAAATATGGAATCAAATATATCTATAGCTACTATTTCTGAAAATTGTACAACATTACCTAATTATATTAATTCTTAAACCAGAACTTTCCCTCAGAAACTAATTCAATGTATACATACTGCATCGTCGGGATCACCGGGAAACATCAACAGATCTTGGTCGTCCAACAGTTGTTTACATTCACGACATTTAGCAGGTGGTAGTTTGGGGGCAGGGCTCGCTTCAACTTTCACCTCGTCCTGCAGGTCCCTGGTTTATAAAGTCATACAACACCTAGTCAGTATGTTATTATATGGTAACAGGTATAGAATAGTTCGGGTGTCAAATACTATAGAAGTGACAAGTTAACAAGAATTTAACTTTTAAACATAAATACTTAATCCTTAGGCTGCTACGCGCGACATATGTCGTTTTGAAAAGTCAGGCCGTCAGTGCTACGCACGACATATGTCGTTTCTCGGTCTGTAGGTTTTGATCGGTAGCCAGGAAGTGTGAAGTCGGGTTGTTGCTATACCATACCCGAATGTGTATAGTAGAAGGCTTCTGATTGGTTGTTTTGTCATTACTTTTGATATTCACGGCAGTGTACCCTAGTAATAACCAAAGGTGTGCAAGAGAATTTCAAATCGAAAAAAAAAAAGGCATAAAATGGTGGACGTGTAGATTGAAGCGATGAATATGATGGTAAACATTTATTCTCCATCGTCACCTACGAAGATAATAAATGTTTTGAAGGGTTTGGCATGGTTGATGTGGAAATACTCCGGTGTAACATACTATTTAACTTTCCAATAAAAGGATTTGTGCCCTACGCAAACAGGAAAATATCGGCAGACCAAGGCGCACATGTTGTCTGCAGGTGAGGCCGAATTGAACATTGACATAAATACTTTTTGAGCCGATTTATTTCTTCAAACTTTTTATCGATGATTTAATCATAAACTAGACCGTAGCTAAGATATATCTATATGCCGACTGTGACAGTAAATGTATTGAATGGCAACCTGAAACCTGTAGCAAATCACATGCAATTCTTGTCAAAATACCTGACCTTTTTACCTGAGAATCTCCGTGTAAATATACAGCGTCTTATGTCAAAAATGAAGTTTATAATCTCTGTTATCATTTGCCAATCACATTTGCGGACGAAAATAATTTTAAAACGATCCTCCTCTTGCTTAAATCCGATTAATTAAAAGTTTCACATTTTCTTACCTTTATTACCACCTGTACAGGTAAATACTGAAGCAACTTTAGAATTGAAAACGTTCATATAAACTTAAGACAACAACGAACAATTTTCATACAACTTTTTTTCACATATAACAAATATTTTCCAAGTTATGCACATTTGAAAAATCAAGTAAATTAATTTAAATTTCAGTAACTAATTCAGCAGTGGTGTCCCTTTACATAGAAATCAATGTCGCAGCCTAAGGGTTAAGACAGGAATCCTTCTAAAAAGAGTTCTTTGAAAGTCAGATATCCAAATAGATAAATGTTATGACTGATTCCGCAGTGAAATCCTGTGACATCAAGGAACGATTTACAGTTAATGACTGTGTTTGATGACACGATATACAGTTATAGACTGTGTTTGATGAAACGATTTACAGTTAACGACTGTGTTTGATGACTCGATATACAGTTAACGACTGTGTTTGATGACATGATATACAGTTAACGACTGTGTTTGATGACATGTTATACAGTTAACGACTGTGTTTGATGACATGATATACAGTTAACGACTGTTTGATGACTCGATATACAGTTAATGACTGTGTTTGATGACATGATATACAGTTAACGACTGTGTTTGATGACATGATATACAGTTAACGACTGTGTTTGATGACATGATATACAGTTAACGACTGTGTTTGATGACATGATATACAGTTAACGACTGTGTTTGATGACATGATATACAGTTAACGACTGTGTTTGATGACATGATATACAGTTAACGACTGTGTTTGATGACATGATATACAGTTAACGACTGTGTTTGATGACATGATATACAGTTAACGACTGTGTTTGATGACATGATATACAGTTAACGACTGTGTTTGATGACATGATATACAGTTAACGACTGTGTTTGATGACATGATATACAGTTAACGACTGTGTTTGATGACATGATATACAGTTAACGACTGTGTTTGATGACATGATATACAGTTAACGACTGTGTTTGATGACATGATATACAGTTAACGACTGTGTTTGATGACATGATATACAGTTAACGACTGTGTTTGATGACATGATATACAGTTAACGACTGTGTTTGATGACATGATATACAGTTAACGACTGTGTTTGATGACACGATATACAGTTAACGACTGTGTTTGATGACATGATATACACACACTTTGTCACTCCAGGACCTCACATACACACCTTGTATCCTGATTATCTGTGTCCATCTTATCTTCGTTGTTCTCTCCATCCTCTGTTTTGGCTTTCTTTGACTCCTTCTCCTCTTCACGTTTCACTCTCTGGTCCTCCTCCTCCTCAGCAGTGGACTTCCTCTTTGCTGGCCTAGCAAACAAAGATATAAACACATCTCAACCTCCACAAATAATACAATTACAACAAGTTGATAATATCCTGTTAATTTACAGCACCTTGTACTGATCATATCACAGTGTTACCGGTTACCCAATGGTTCCTATACTGTATACAGCTGTGATATTTCAGTGTGTGATGCTAATGTTTATGAGGAGAAACACAATCTGGTGCAGTGTATGATGGATTCACTTTGTTTGTTCAACCTGTTGTGTCATTTTGTCAAACAATATTCACTATTCTGTTGTATTCACAAAATCATCTTGCTGTGGATTAGCCTGTAAATAGCAGCTAATGAATATTTTTGGTAAATTCAATTTCAGGCCATCCTTTTTAAGAGTACAACAGTTTATTTATAATTGTTCATTACTGACAGTCAGGGAAGGGAGAAACTTACATTTTGTTGAACATAGACATGATGGATGGTTGTGCAGCTCCATTGGAATTCCTGCTTGGTCGACCTCTGCCTTTCTTACCGCTAGTTCCTAAGTTAGGGAGAAGATAGCATTTCAGCATTGTTCTTTTTCTAGTCAACAACAAAAATAGACTGACAGTTTACCATTATGAGAAAATGATTACCTAGGTACTTTTCATTTCATGTTCTGAAATCTTCCTTAATTGAGTATATGAATTCTCTTGATCAGTATGAAGTAGAGCTGAGGCATTGGGAACTGTTCTTGCCAGTAGGAAAGTAATGCAAGTGAATGAAATTTCCACTTGGTAAATCAGAAACTCATTCATTGATTTTTTCGTCAAATATAACATGAAAGAATATCTGAACAAATGAAACAGAAAACAGATAAAATTGAAAAAGTGTTTGTCAGTGTTAGTGAAAGACAACCAATGATGAGTTTAGGACTATAAGGATATTATCAGATAACAACTTCTTTTTCCAGAGGTTAAAAATCTAGGGATATAGTAACTAACATTTTTAGTATTTTTCTTGCAGACATGTCTTTAAAAGTTGTGAACCTGAGAAACACCTACTGTACAACAGTATATATAAATACACCTACCTCGAGGTGATTTCACCTCCACATCATTTCCTTCTTCATCTTTTTCTTCGCCTTCATTTTTGCTAATTTCCTTGATCTCCATTAACTCCTGAAGAGATTGTAACATCAACATAAATAATATGCATTTCTTTTAAAGACTCCTCCTGTTTACTTGTCATCTAACTTAAATAGCAAGTAAAAAGTAGGAATGAAAGGCATAATGGGTTAGCTTGAGTCAATAAATGTTCAATTGTGGACATATTATAAAGATATCTGACCTTGTCATCAACCCAAATATCCAGGTTGATAAATATTTCATCTAGATTTACACCATATTTAAGTAAAAGTCTGATTTTTTCCCCTGGACATAAATTCAACCCACTGTAGGCATTTTGGAACAATAATTTCCAAGAAGAATGTGCATATACAAGATATAAGGCCAACAAACCGATACCTCTTTTAACTCGGGATCACTTCCCTCCTCAGACATGCCATTTGATCCGTTGGTGGTTCCGTTAGTTACTGTGCCATTGTTGGTACCGTTCTCTGTGTGGTCTTTAGTTCCATTGGAATGTCCGTTAGAAGCTGTATCATTGTCCTCATGGTTTCCATTTGGTTTCTTTCCATTTTCCGCTGAACCTATTTCCTCTTTCTTAGCTACTTCTTGGTCCTGTAATCCCCCGCTTAGTTTTAGGTACAAGTCAAAAATCTTCTGCAGCTTCTTATAATATCCTTTCTAGAAAGATAAAAGCCTGGTTGTTCAAACTTCATTAAATGAATGTCATACCAATATACACATACATTTTATATCAAGACAGTAAACAGCTTAGCGAGAACACAGTGTACAAATCAACCACCTGTTTTAATACTTAGCGAGACCACAGTGTACAAATCAACCACCTGTTTTAATACTTAGCGAGAACAGTGTACAAATCAACCACCTGTTTAAATTCTTAGCGAGAACAATGTACAAATCAACCACCTGTTTTAATACTTAGTGAGAACACAGTGTACAAATCAACCACCTGTTTTAATTCTTAGCGAGAACAGTGTACAAATCAACCACCTGTTTAAATTCTTAGCGAGAGCAATGTACAAATCAACCACCTGTTTTAATACTTAGTGAGAACGCAGTGTACAAATCAACCACCTGTTTTAATACTTAGTGAGACCACAGTGTACAAATCAACCACCTGTTTTAATTCTTAGCGAGAACAGTGTACAAATCAACCACCTGTTTAAATTCTTAGCGAGAACAATGTACAAATCAACCACCTGTTTTAATATTTAGTGAGAACACAGTGTACAAATCAACCACATGTTTTAATACTTAGCGAGAACACAGTGTACAAATAAACCACCTGTTTTAATACTTAGCGAGAACACAGTGTACAAATAAACCACCTGTTTTAATACTTAGCGAGAACACAGTATACAAATCAACCACCTGTTATAATACTTAGCGAGAACACAGTGTACAAATCAACCCCCTGTTTTAATACTTAGCGAGACCAGTGTACAAATCAACCACCTGTTTTAATACTTAGTGAGAACACAGTGTACTAATCAACCACCTGTTTTAATACTTAGCGAGACCAGAGTACAAATCAACCACCTGTTTTAATACTTAGTGAGAACACAGTTTACAAATCAACCACCTGTTTTAATACTTAGCGAGAACACAGTGTACATTGTGTTGTTGGGCAGAAATAAAAGTATCCTAAAGTCACCATTCCATCATGGGGTAATGGTACTGATCAATGAATACCTCTGTAATTATGTCCTCCTTCAAGTCGTTCTCCACAGACAGCACTTCTCCTCTAGTCTTGTCAGGAATACTGTCATCAAGTAGTCGACATTTCTTCTTCCAATAACCCTGAAAGTTACCAAATATAAATTGGTCTTTGATGCGACGATTAGAAAATTAGATTATTTTACATGAACTTGAGCACTCAGCAGTATTAACAAAATGTAGCCAAGTAACTCCATTGTTGACAATGATATACTCTTGCTATTGGCTCACATGAAACACTCTCATACATGCCATATCTAACGATTTTGGAGTGAGACTCACGAAAACTGCTTCAGAAACCCCCCCACATTCGTCACGAATTTTAATCGGTCTCACGTGGTCAATCTTAGTGAATAAACAATAACTACATGGATTCACACTGACCTTGGTCACTGAGAGGTCTGAAGTGAAACGCCAGCCACTTAAATTACGGACCAGGCCAGCCGATTTAGCGGGGCATGGCTTGGTGACTTGCTCACCGATGTGTGAACTGTTAAGCAATTAAATCATTGATCCCACATCCAGTGGCGGCTAGTTGCTAATTAATATGTGATGACAGTTGATATTAACATTAAACAGCAACATAAGAGCTGTTAATTCATTACAATCGAAATTGGACACCGACATTGAATCCGGAATTTATTCTCTTGCCGTCGGGATGGTATTGAGTGTTAATGAAAATAACATAAACAGAAGAAATCAAGTTTCTTCAGAATTGGGTATATAAACAAGAGGCCCAGAGGGCCTGTATCGCTCACCTGGATACCAAAGCAATTATGGCAAAATATTCTCCGAATGAGATCAAGGGAATATGCCAGACACCAAGGCCAATCGTTGTAGCATATCTGATTAGATTCTTCATGCCCAGCAATTTTATGTATGGTTATGGGGTGGGGATCTCAACTGTTTCCAAGCTTTGACTCAGAAACTAGGTCCCTAGGGTTGTGGCCAGACCCCAGATCAATTCTAATATCGTGACTGCATTTGTCTCTTTTTGCACAGCATTTGTATATATAGTTTTGGGGTGGGGATCTCAACCATTTCAAAGTTATGACCCAGGGGTTAAGTCTGCAAGGGTGGGGCAGACCCTGGGGTCAATTCTAATATCATGACTGCATTCGTCTTTTTATGCCAAACAATTGTATATATAGTTTTGGGGTGGGGATCTAAACCATTTCGAAGTTATGACCCAGGGGTAAAGTCTCCAAGGGCGGGGCGGTCTCCAAGGCCATCCTGGAAGCATATGTGCAATAATCTCTTTATACTCAGCAATTGTATATACCGTTATAGGGTGGGGCTCTCAACTGTTTCCAAGCTGTGACTAACAAACTAGGTCCCTAGGGGTTCGGTCAGACCCCAGGGTCTATTCTGATATCATGACTGCATTCGTCTTTTTATGCCCAGCATATATATACATAGTTTTGGGGTGGGATCTCAACTGTTTTAAAGTTATGGCCCAGGGACTATGTCTCCAAGGGCGGGGCCAGACTCTATAGCCATCCTGGAAGCAAATGTGCATTCTTCTCTTTACACTCAGCAATTGTATACCATGGTTATATGGTGGGGATCTCAACTATTTCCAAGTAATCCACTTTTTTTGGCCCCACCCCTTAGCCCGGGGGTTCAGCCCCACCATTTGTACAATTTTGAATCCCTGCCTCCCATGAATGCTTCGGACCAAACATGATCAATATCCATGGCATAGTTCTACAGTAGAAGTCGTTTATAACAATATAGCTAAATTGCCCCCTTTTTGGCCCCGCCCTCAGCCCCATCATTTGTATAATTTTGAATCCCCACCACCTAGGGATGCTTCCAGTCAAATATGGTTGATATCCACCTCTTAGTTCCAGAGAAGAGGTCGCTTATACCAATATTGCAAAATTGACCCCTTTTTGCCCCGCCTCTCAGCCCCCTGGGTGGTCAGCTCCATCATTTGTACAATTTTGAATCCCCACCACCTAGGGATGCTTCCAGTCAAATTTAGTTGAATTCCAATCAGTGGTTAAGAAGAAGAAGTCGTTTTAATAAATTGTTGACGTACGTACGGACGAAACAGTATGGCATAAGCTCGAGCTAAAAATGTAGTTATGGGTTTACTCACTAATTCAGAGAAATAATCTCACTATTTTGACCAAATCTCACTAAAAATAATCACTGATCTCACTATTTTGCACTGGAAAGTTATGGCATGTATGCAATCTATAGCACTTACACAGGAATGAGCACATGTGTGTCCCCAATTTGTCGCTAGAGGCTCAACAAGTGTATAAAGACAAACCTTTTCGGTGATATCGCCATCCTTCAACTCATCATCCAACTCAGACAATCTGAAACAGTAAAATTATAAAAACTGAAACATGAAATCTTAACAGAACTTTTTATTATTAAGCAGCTAGACTTAATCCTTCTGATAGTGATGATCAGCTCAGCTACCTCCAGTCAGCCTTTCCTTAATAAAACATTTTTTTCTCTCTCTGAAGAATAACAAATCCTTTGTCCAACCTTAGAACACTGAGAATTTTAATTAAAATGCCAAGCTAAAAGTAACACATGTAAAAACCAGAGGCCCAGAGGACCTGTATTGCTCACCTGTTTCTTTTGTTAAATGAAACTGTCATAAATAACTTAAGACCAAATTTGGTAACTAGAAAACAAGACATTTTAACATCTCTTAAATGCTTCTGAAGATATTGATGTTTGAAATTATAATTTTAAAGCTTTTAACCCATGTTGACCTTTGCCTCTGGCTAACATTCAAAGTTGACCTTTGAACTCATTACTGTAATAAAGAAAAAGATTTGAACTGCTGGTCTTCATAACATACCCAAGTTTCATGACTCTATTCTTAGGATATTGTTGTTTGAAATTTTTAACATATTTTGTCCCCTGTGACCTTGAAAGTAGGTCAAGGTCATTTTAATGACAAAACTTAATAGGACTTCATCCTTGGTACCTACTGGCCAAATATCATGACCCTGGGCCTTATGGAACTTGATAAAGATTGATTGTTAAAGCTTTTAACCCATGTTGACCATTGACCCCTGACTAGCACTTAAAGTTGACCTTTGGCCTCATTACTGTAATTAAGAAGATTCTCACTGCTTGTCTACTTTAAAGGAAACTTTAAAGCACTCCATTCAAGGTACCAACTGGTCAAATATAATGACCCTAGGTCCTACAGTTCTTCAGAAGTAGTTCAAAAGAAAAAGTTGACGGACAGACAACGGACGCCGCAGTACAAAGGGTCAAGTGAGCTAAAAACCAGACCAGGATTTGAGCCCATGACAGCTATTTTACCAAATATTTTTCAGAGAGTTGATATACTTCTAATGAAATAGTCTTCAGCTCATACATGTTACTCAGTGAAGAAAGTAATGATCAGTGCTTCACCATTTGCCTACAGAATTTATGTTAGCTACAGAAACTCTTCGATGACTTTTAAATGGACTTGCTCCCCAATATTTAGGTTCTCACTTGAATCATGTAAACAGTTCAGAGATACATGTCAGTTCAATTAGAAGAACACAGCATTTTCTTCTAGTAATTTGTTGTATCGAGTTGTCAAACTTGGGAAAACACTTCTCAATTACCAGGATTGACACAATCTTTTAACACTTTTAGGCAATCGCATAGAGCAATATATTGTGATTCATACCTTCAGATAAGAAACAACTTTTGTATTTATGCTATTTTAGCTTATATCCTGGCAACTTGTATGGTTCTCTATATAGACTGCCATAAGTACGAGGCATTTAACTATAACAGAACGCTAAGCATGATATTTATGCTCCTCGTGAAATTTGATGTCTAGTAACATATTAATGTGTTATATCATTAGCAATAAGTTTAATCTACAGTACTATGTTTTTTTTAAATAGTCTGTAAAACTAAATGATTTGAATCTAGATGAAATACCCATGATATATAAGCATTTGACTAAACAGTTTTAATCCTCAATAAATAAAGTTTATTATTATCTCATATTTAATTTTTAATATGGCACTTTTTATACATAAGAATTATTAACGGAGAGAAAAGAACATACTTTATTTCCAAATAAGGATCATATCAGTTAATTTGAACCCTAATAGTTCACATAACAAAGACCGTTATTTAATTGATGAGTCAATTACATAGAACTTTGGTACAAGTGTAAAATGCAGTATCAGGATCAATCACCAGATAGTTGGTTGGTTATAACAGGAGCATGCATACATGAAGTTTGAAGGTCCAAGGTGTGAATTCTAAGGACAAGTTACATATCCTTATCCTATTTGGCCATTAAAGGCTGGTGACCTCATCAAATGGGGGCGCCTGGATAATTTAGCAGGTCTGGACTAATTAATATTAGTATTCATATTATACCAGGCCTGTAATGGAGCAAGCCCGGTGTGAATTACACTGGGGTGATTTTATAATTAATTGACAGCATATTGATATATAAATAGGTTTGTAATATGAACTTATTTCTGTTGATTTCCTATATAACTTGAAGTTAAACTCTGCCTAAAATGTTGTTAAATTATATAATTATCAAGTTAACGTAGCAAGGGCAATCGAAATCTAAATTGACTGCCATGATGGAAACTTTGTCTCTCTTCCAATATAGGTCAGACGTCTATATATGGATGTCATGACCCAATATGGAAATTGTAGTAAAACATGGCGGCATCTAGATTTGTAGTACATGTAATATTATATTTGCCCAAGATTTTTTTTTATTAGCAAGGATTTGTTATTTCAACAATTATGCAATATTTTGATAACATTATACTCGTATGAGGACATTGAGGTGTGAATTATATGTAATCTTACAGATTACCATGTTTGATCATGCTCCATTAGTTGGCATAGGACCGCTTCGTAGCTCTGAAGACGCAATATATATATGAATGCAACATCTCGTCATCAGAAGCTACGTACGTTATGGCAGCTATATAGTCTCGACTGCATGGGTACATATTGATTGGTGAACAATCAAAATTAATTAAGAATTTAAGGGTTTGGAGTTCCAATCCAATCGTAAGGTGACAGTACCCAAATCGGATCACCAAACCATCATTTTATTAAATCATTGAAAAATCTGAGGAGAAATTATATTCATTTATGGTTGTATCAAAAACAGAATATCAATGGGTGTTTTAACAAACGAAATTAGCACCTGGGGCTCACTTGAGATATTTATTGAACGCTCTCAAGTCACCAATCAGCGTCTCCAGTTTTTGCGAATGTCGGTACTGAAATCGGATCACGGCTTGAATTTTGCAGTATCGTACGCTTCAAATGAATATTTTTTTGTCAGCATACTAACATTTTATGATGACCTGTAGAATTTATATGACAGAAAGTATTTCTATAGTGTGAATTTATTCCTATAGTCCAAAACAGAGTGCATAGTCGCCTCACGCGCCATTTTTTAAAAACGTAATCAAAACATTGACATTTGAGTTTGAATTACGTTTTCTTGCGCTATTTGAACTTAAAAACTAATTATCTGTAGTCAAAAAATAGTCCATGGCTATCTATTCTAAGACTACATCATTGTTATAACTGATTTGTTGACACATTTATTTATTTATAAGTATTTTTGCAAAAAGTGATCCGATTTGGGTACTGCCACCTTACATGTAAAACACAAATAGAGAAAGCAGTCACTCATTCAGATTGCACAGATCTGGGATTATACTTTACAGTAATGCTTACCCAAAATTATGACATTTTGGATTGGATGCAAACACAATTTAAACAAATTGAACGCAAATATTAATTTGTAACAGATGAAGTAATTAAATGAAGATAGATCAGTGTACAGTGTTAGAAGGATGTTTAACGTGAAGAAGAAGATAACATTAGACTCTACTAGTCATTGCAGTAGCCTGAGTAGAGATGGTCAACCATAACAATATGTGCACATAAGAGATCGGCAATGAAAGTAATCACTTTTGCTTGATGTCTGCATTCAACGATGGCTGCGGAAGAGTTGCACCAGGCATTATTGCTTGATACCTTCGACAATACCAATTATTCAGAAATTATTTCTGTTCTCTGTCTTTCTGCTACGAAGAAACTTTCCCGCGAAATAATGGAATGTTCCAGTAAGGTGATTAGGTACTGTATGTCACTTCCGGTATATATAAAATTTGCAGGTTTTGCTGTATCTAAACGCGTTGTTTAAACGTAAAAAGTTGTATAGCATTAAGCTTAATAATCTTATTGCGATATGATTGAAAGATGTATATATTCTTTCACATTACTATACATTATTGAAATCTCTCATCCCTAATGTAAAATGGAGAAAACCGGAAGTTTACAAACGTCTTTTGCAGACTGAGGCGGTATATTTGACAGGACAAAAACAACATCATGGTAGGAATTTCACCAAAACTTAGGACGTGAAGAAACGATCGATTAGAATTAACCATTTTCTTATTCCCCCCCAGCTTGTAACAAAACACTAGCACGTATGTAACACTGATCACATATTTCCTCCCCATTTTACTACAACCGTTCCCCTCGAAGAAAGTGACTACAACAAGAGTCTGACGTTTAATCAATATAAGTATTACAACTTGTCTATCAAAAAATACCCCGTATACTATAAAAAAAACAAATGTTTTTATAGTATTTTTTTATAACATCTGTAACAGGAAAGAGGATAGTGTGCTACCACTGAGGAACCAGTGACCCTATGTACCCTGTAAATAGTTGCATCTATATATGTTAAAAATCTAAAAAATAACCCTTATTCCCTTGTACATTTCCCAGCGCATAGCATGTAATCTTCAGTTTATGTGAAGAATTGCTACGCCACCAATTGAGCTAAAGCCAGGAAACTAATTATAAGTCATCCTAGCGCGAAGGACAGGTTGTTTCTCCTTAAATCCTGCCCCTGCAGGTAGGGGGTCACCGATTGTTACACACATATTGATTAAACGTCAGACTCACTCCTGTGGTGACTACTTGTGTAACTGCATTGAACTGTCCAAAAAGTCAGGTAGATTTATACAATCGTTAGTTTGCTGTACTATAAAGACGCATCGGTTAAATTTCCCGTCAGAGTAATAATGTTTTACCTTACCTGCTTCCCAGCTAGTCCCTCTCCTAAGGAATAAGCCAAATATACTGAGATATAGGACTACTGTAGAGTCTCCCCAACGAGGTGCTGCATGGTTATCAATAATTATTATGATATTATTATAACAGGATGAGGAAAGAGAATAGTGTGCTTCCACCGAAGATCGGACACATGATTCCTAGTTGGCTGCTCTACCACTGAGCTGAAGGGAAATTACCTCTAGCTTGAAGCTAGAAGGCGACCGTAATACTATGTAAAGTTAAAATCTGCCACACTACTCCCCCCTTTTTAAATGTGTTCGCCCTCGAACACCACAACCCAGGTTCTAACTCCCTGTCACCACAGGGATCTAGGGCCACGGACAGCATTTGTAACAGGAAAGAGAAAAATTTGCTTCCACTGGGGAACAAACTCACGATCCCTAGCTAGATATAGTTTCCTAGTCAGACGCTCTACCTGAGCTTAAGGGCAATTCCCTCTGGCGCAAATCTAGAAGGCGACCGTAGTCCTATGTACAATTAAAATCTGCAACATTATGTTTATATTACTCCAGGGTGTTAATTTTTTTATTGAATAAATACACAAAATGTGCTGGGTTACTTTTATTTTTCGTTTGGGTTTCACATTCTACAGCTTCTTGCTTCATGTTTTAATGCTGGGGATGTCTACCTTCAGCAGTCAGGTCTCCAATTTGTTGCCTTCTAGTGTGCATGATGTCTGGTTATTTCACCCTTAATCCCATCCACCCCAGGTCAGTTCACGCTTGGTTGTTTTGCCCTAAAAATAAGTTTAGGGTGAAACATTTAAGGCCAGTTTTTATGGTTGTGTTTGACTAATTTGGTCTCATTTGAAATTTTCCGTAGTCTTCCTCAGCCATTAGACATGTTACACTATGTTTATGATTGACCAGATCTGTGCATAACATTATGATACATCTGAAATTCTTCCAACAACACCACTGTTTGCGAAATATGAAAAAAAATAGTTTTTAACAATCTTGGGTCAACAGGATTTAAGGTTTGGTTTGGTTTATTATTACCCCTTTGAGAAAATTCTAGGAATCTGATTGGTTAAAAACTACAGTGTACCAAACCGCATTCGTAAATCTCAGGGGGTATACGAAAATCTCGGGGTATACGGTCATGTCACGTGATTCTCAGCAGTAACATGGTGGAATCACGTGATTTTACAAGGGGTATACGGGTCACGTGTCTTTGTATGTTGTGGCTGGGCAACGGGAGACAACTTGCATTCGTAGTCTGCTTCGCTGTTTACAAAATGGCAAAACGTTTCGCTTTGATACTGATGAGGAAATATATTTTTCTTTGTTTTTATTATAAAAGACTCAAAGGGGTAATGAATTCGTTACACAGATTTTTGGCAGGGTATACGGGATGGTATGACCCTACAGGAAATACGAAACCCTTTAGGGTCATACAATCCCATATACCCTGCCAAAATCCGTGTAACTAATAGTATTGTTTAACATCCTATCAACAGCTATGGTCATTCAAGGACGGCCTCCCCTCTGTGCAAGATGCATGCGTGTGTTTTGGGAGACTGCGATATGTTCATGTTTGTCTCCTTGTGATAGTGTAGAACTGATGCCGACTTAATACATACTACCGAAGACACCCAGCAGGACACCCCATCCTGTCACATTATACTGACAACAGGCGAACCAGTCGTCCCACTCCTAAATTGCTGAGCTTTAAGCAGGAGAAGAAACTACCATTTTTACAGACTCTGGTATATGTCTCTGCCAGGGGACGGAACCCAAAGCCGTCCTCACAGAGGTGAACGCTCGACTTAAGGCCAAAAATGATGCATTGTCAAGGGAGACATTAGGATGAAGAAAGTTGTTTAGAAAGAAGTTTAGTCGCCTCTTACAATCATGCAATGGGGGCAGCATATACAATTCTTACCCCCTACCTGCAGGGACAGGATTTAACAGAAACAACCTGTGCTTCCCGCTAGGTTGACTTATATTAGTTTCCTGGCTTTAGCTCAATTGGTGGAGTGGCAGACTGGGAAGCTAGGGGTTCGCTTGTTCCTCAGTGGTAGCACACTATCCTCTTTCCTGTTACAGATATTAACATTGGAGGTTCTATTACATCCTCTAAATTCCAGAGGCTACTCTCACTTTCATTCTCCGCACCCCCTGTAATACGTCGTGCGAAAATGAATCTTAGCTTTTGGATTAGATTCAGGTAGAATTTTTTTTTCACCAGTCGTTAGGCATGTCCTCTGAAAAATACAAAGGAGCAACACCCGATCCCAGAGCCTGTCATTTACCTTCATGCTACTATGTAATTTCTTTGCTTTACCTCAAAGGATAAAGCTAGTCCTTCTCTCCTCAAAAAGGGGACCGTACAGAGTCATAATGCCATCTATGTTTTATCTTGTAGATTTGTCATCGTTTTATCTTGTAGATTTGTCATTGTTTTATCTTGTAGATTTGTCATTATTTTATCTTGTAGATTTGTGATTGTTTTATCTTGTAGATTTGTCATTATTTTATCTTGTAGATTTGTGTTTATCTTGTAGATTTGTCATTGTTTTATCTTGTAGATTTGTCATTGTTTTATCTTGTAGATTTGTTATTGTTTTATCTGGTAGATTTGTCATTGTTTTATCTTGTAGATTTGTCATTATTTTATCTTGTAGATTTGTCATTGTTTTATCTTGTAGATTTGTCATTGTTTTATCTTGTAGATTTGTCATTGTTTTATCTTGTAGATTTGTCATTGTTTTATCTTGTAGATTTGTCATTGTTTTATCTTGTAGATTTGTCATTGTTTTATCTTGTAGATTTGTCATTGTTTTATCTTGTAGATTTGTCATTGTTTTATCTTGTAGATTTGTCATTGTTTTATCTTGTAGATTTGTCATTGTTTTATCTTGTAGATTTGTCATTGTTTTATCTTGTAGATTTGTCATTGTTTTATCTTGTAGATTTGTCATTGTTTTATCTTGTAGATTTGTCATTGTTTTATCTTGTAGATTTGTCATTGTTTTATCTTGTAGATTTGTCATTGTTTTATCTTGTAGATTTGTCATTGTTTTATCTTGTAGATTTGTCATTGTTTTATCTTGTAGATTTGTCATTGTTTTATCTTGTAGATTTGTCATTGTTTTTTTATCTTGTAGATTTGTTATTGACCAAAGAACAAAAGACTGCAGCTCTGATGACAGCATGTCACAGACCACATTTCTGGAATCGGTCGTTACCTGGAATGAAGAGCAATGTCAGCAGAATCTGGATGAGGCTCTACCGAAGCTTATTGTATCCCTATTTTCACTCATGATTTTATATTATAGTGGTCAGAAATAAAACCATAGGTATCTATGGGAGTTTGCTATAAGAAAGTATATTTTTCAAGTTTTATTTCAATTCAACTTTATTGAAATATCTTACAAAATAGTTTGTAATTTTGGTAACATTTTCAGATTTTCATTAAGATTTGTAATACTTGTACTGGTAGTTTTAAAGGTCCAAAGCAAATATGTTGTTGCATTGATTTTTAGCTCACCTGGCCCGAAGGGCCAAGTGAGCTTATGGCATGGTGCGGCGTCCGGCCAGCCGGCGTCAACTTTTTACTTTAAACAACTTTTTCTCAATAACCAAGAGGCCCAGGCTGATGATTTTTGGCCAGTAGCATGCTGGGGTGAAGGGCTACCAAGTTTGTTCAAATGAATGACCTGGACCCACTTTCAAAGTCACAGGGGTCAATTGTCTTAAAATCTTCAAACAACTTCTTCTCAGTAACCAAAAGGCCCAGGGTACTGATATTGGGCCTGTAGCATGCTGGGATGAAGGGCTACCAAGTTTGTTCAAATGAAAGACCTTGACCCACTTTCAAGGTCACAGAGGTCAAATGTCGTAAAATCTTCAAACCACTTCTTCTCAATAACCAAAAGGTCCAGGGTACTGAAATTGGGCCTGTAGCATGCTGGGAGGCAGGACTACCAAGTTTGTTCAAATGAATGACCTTGACCCGCTTTCAACATAATGTCATTGTTCGACATTCAAGGTCACATGTGTCATGTTTACAATTTTTAAAAGGTTCTTATGAATCACTGATATTCTGTCTGTAGCTGTATTTTAGTCCACTTTTAAGATTACAAGTGTGAGAATAATAACAGGTGAGCGTTGCAGGCCCATTGGGCCTCTTGTTTATGTAAAAACAAGGAAGACAGTGTTATATCAATAATGTTCATTAGGATTATTAGATTTCACAGTAAATTAGTAATTATCTTATTGAGTTCATGATCAAGCAATATTACATGAATTGTGCACGCCCTTGACAATATAAACAGAACTACTGTCATGAAGCCCAGATGATACAGGAACAAGTTGGTAAGTAGAAACACACCATCATTGATTGGAGGGTAAGAGAATTATTCATGTTGCTCAACTATTAAAGTATGATATTGTCTAGGTTGAGTATTATTGTTTCTGTGATGACAATGTAGTATTCCAGTTGTGTGGTACCGTGAATTAACCTTTAGAAATACAGACACATAACAAACAGAACACATGTACAACCTCCAGCATACACACTTGTGTAGTCACCCAAATTTTATAGCTATTTTCTCCTGAACATGTTTAACAAGTGGACACTCATTGACTTCCGTGTAGTGTTAAAGGATTCTTCTCAGTCACGTTATTTAGGGACATTTCTATGTAAGGCTACTATCCATTAATAATTATAACCGGCAGTTGGTGATGATTACTGTTTATGTCCTGATTTTGGTTTGTTGAAAGTAAGGGTCAAGGTCTCTTATTATTTATAGAAATTTTTCTGAAAAGACACTAACTTCATTCATATCTTGCATACATTTTCTGGTTTTACCAATTGCGCTATACACTGCTATTGCTAAATGTTTAATGACACCATTGAAATTACTGATTTTGAATGTGATCCTGTTTCAGGAATACTGAAAATCATTTGCCAGTCATTCCTTCCCTGTGTTGATGTTCTGGAAGCAGAGTGGCGAGTTTACAGCCAGATAGTTTTACAGGTACACACGTTTCTTCAATCATTTCAAAGGGACATGTACCATAAAGAAAGTGGAATAAAGTACATTGTTTCATTGGAATGGGGGAATTTTAAAATAATTATCTCATCATTTTGTATTATTTATTTCAGATGTTTTATATTTTTTCTGTTAAGGATATTTTTTCTGTGCCAATTAGTTAGGGGCGGGGGGCTTTAGTCTTACCTATGACCGTCCTGTCATGTTCTGTTGTGTTGCATTCTGATTCAGTGTCAAGGTTCTGTTCCTTCATTTCTTAACAATTTTTGTTCAAGAGTTATACAAAGATTATGAAAATACCTTGAAAGTGTTTGTATTTCTGGGAGTAGAGCCAAGTTAACTGTTACATATTATACACACTGAAGGAGTTTGTCAACCAATTCAGTGACATCAAACTGGCAACTTCCTTTTTTTCATTTTTTTTTTACCATATTTTATACAGAACTCAAGGATAAGAATACCTCAAAAGAGTTCCTATTTCAGGATTCCAAGACCAAAGTCAAGACCACTATTATTGATTAATTATAGATTTGTCAGTGACACTGCTTTGTCTGAGAGAGGAGACATACATATCATGCAGACATTTTAAAATATTTCTAGAGAGGAAATAAATTACAGAGAAATTGCATCTGCCTATGTCATAATTACAGACAGATGGAAAATAACATCAATAAATGAAAAAAATATAACTAAAGTGTCTGATCGACCTAGGACAGAGGAATTAAGATCCACATGAATGTGTTATGATATAACTAAAGTGTCTGAATCGACCTAGGACAGAGTAATTAAGATCCACATGAATGTTTTATGATATAACTAAAGTGTCTGAATCGACCTAGGACAGAGTAATTAAGATCCACATGAATGTTTTATGATATAACTAAAGTGTCTGAATCGACCTAGGACAGAGTAATTAAGATCCACATGAATGTTTTATGATATAACTAAAGTGTCTGAATCGACCTAGGACAGAGTAATTAAGATCCACATGAATGTGTTATGATATAACTAAAGCGTCTGAATCGACCTAGGACAGAGGAATTAAGATCCACATGAATGTGTTATGTTTATGAAATGGCTTTTTGTTTGCTGACATACATATTATTATGTCAAGTTATGTTTATAAATAGAGAATAATACATGCCTTTTTCCATATCACACCCAGTATCAACCCGAGACTGCAATATCAGCCCAAGGGCCGAAGGCCCGCGGGCTGATATTGGTCGAGGGTTGATACTGGGTGTGATATGGAAAAAGGCGTGTTTTATTCTGTTTATTACATACTTTCTTATAAAAACTACTATCTTATGATTTATTTTGATTTTTGAAATATTGAAAAACGATTTTTTTTTCAAATGGGGTGTGATATGGGTTTTGCGGGCTGATATGGGTTTTGGGGTGTGATACGGCGGGGGCTGATACAGGTTTTGGGGTGTGATACGGCGAGGGCTGATATGGGTTAGAGCAATTGTGTCGTATCGCATATACAACAAGTGATCCCAGAGGGATCTTGGCGCCCACCTTTGTACCATCTTCATTAGTTCTTTGTCAGGTCGATCTTTTCTCTTCTTTCCTCTAATCTGTTTGATCGAGTCATGTTAACAGTAAATGCACCTTGAGGTAACTTTTGATCTAAACTTAATACTGATGTGTATGAAAGCCAACCTTCAAAGTGAGTTTGTCATTTCACATATTTACTAGTACAGTACTTAATGTGAAAGAAATAGAATCGATCATTGCAATATGAGAAAGATCTGTTTAGTTCTTCTTTTAATCCATTTTGTTTTTATGATCAGTCTCAAAATATAACATACACAACGAGGGATCAAGGGGAACCTACATTTAAAATTTGAGAAAGATCCCTCCCGTACTTCCCGAGAAATAGCGATAACAAACTTTCACTATCAAAATCCAAGATGGCTGCCTGTCGGCCATGTTGTTTATCCGATCAGTCTCTAAAATTGCCCTGCACAGCTAGGACCAAGGGGAACCTACATATAAAATTTAAGAAAGATCCCTCTAGTTCTTCCGGAGAAATAGCGGTAACAAACCCACACTATCAAAATCCAAGATGGCTACCTGTCGGCCATGTTGTTTATCCGATCAATCTCAAAAGTTGCCCTGCACAGCTAAGGACCAAGGGGAACCTACATATAAAATTTGAGAAAGATCCCTCTGGTACTTCTTGAGAAATAGCGATAACAAACTTTCACTATCAAAATCCAAGATGGCTGCCTGTCGGCCATGTTGTTTATCCGATCAGTCTCAAAAGTTGCCCTGCACAGCTAAGGACCAAGGGGAACCTGCATATAAAATTTGAGAAAGATCCCTCTGGTACTTCTTGAGAAATACCGATAACAAAGAATTGTTTAGGACGGACGACGGACCACGGACGCAGGGTGATTTGAATAGCCCACCATCAGATGATGGTGGGCTAAAAAACCCGTATTTATTAGTAAGTATGTAATAAACTGTATCATATATATTACAGTTAGAACTCTGGAAGAAATCCTATATATTACAGTTAGAACTCTGGAATGAACTGTATCATATATATTACAGTTAGAACTCTAGAATGAACTGTATCATATATATTACAGTAAGAACTCTGGAATGAACTGTATCATATATATTACAGTTAGAACTCTGGAATGAACTGTATCATATATATTACAGTTAAAACTCTAGAATGAACTGTATCATATATATTACAGTTAAAACTCTGGAAGGGACTGTATCATATATATTACAGTTAGAACTCTGGAAGGGACTGTATCATATATATTACAGTTAGAACTCTGGAAGGGACTGTATCATATATATTACAGTTAGAACTCTGGAAGGGACTGTATCATATATATTACAGTTAGAACTCTGGAAGGGACTGTATCATATATATTACAGTTAGAACTCTGGAAGGGACTGTATCATATATATTACAGTTAGAACTCTGGAAGGGACTGTATCATATATATTACAGTTAGAACTCTGGAAGGGACTGTATCATATATATTACAGTTAGAACTCTGGAAGGGACTGTATCATATATATTACAGTTAGAACTCTGGAAGGGACTGTATCATATATATTACAGTTAGAACTCTGGAAGGGACTGTATCATATATATTACAGTTAGAACTCTGGAAGGGACTGTATCATATATATTACAGTTAGAACTCTGGAAGGAACTGTATCATATATATTACAGTTAGAACTCTGGAATGAACTGTATCATATATATTACAGTAAGAACTCTGGAATGAACTGTATCATATATATTACAGTTAGAACTCTGGAATGGACTGTATCATATATATTACAGTTAGAACTCTGGAAGGAACTGTATCATATATATTACAGTTAGAACTCTGGAAGGGACTGTATCATGTTACACTGATCATTTATACCAGTACCTAATCACAAATCACACACGGGGATTTTAGCTCACCTGGTCCGAAGGAAGGGCTTTACATAAGTTGGACAACTTGTGCCCAATCCCTTTTGTATATTAAATGCAAATAAAAAATATGTTTAAATCAAAATTAAGGGATTTTATCCTTATTTAGTCCGGAGAATCCTTGGGCCAAGGGGACTCAATTTTGTATAATTGGTGGGTATAACCCCCTAGGGGCATAGGGATGGGGCTCTGTTTGAAGTTTGTTCTCGCTATATCTTAAGTACTGGATGGATCTTTCTGAAATTTCATATGTACTTACAGCACCTACCATGGAGTGCTATGTCTTTACTTCATACCAATTATTTTAAACATATTCAGGTGAGCGATACAGGCCCTCTGGGCCACTTGTTAAAATATGTTACCACTCTGAGATAGTAAAAAACGCTCTTAGTATAAATTGCTCTTAGTATAAATCACTCTTTGTTGTTTGTTGGTGAAGAGTTATGTGCATTTCCAATTCAGTATAAATGTTTTGTACATTCTGTATGTTGTGTTTTTGGAAAGGAATCTACTTTCACTTTCAATGCTGATTTCCTTTGAAACTCATCTTAAAATTAGTTTCACTTAAATTAGTTTCACTTTCAGTTTCAAACCACTTTCAGAAAACGTAAACTTGTATTCTGAGAATTGTTGAAAACCTGCTTTGTTATCTGGAACTTGGGAAGTCATAGAATCAATAACGTTCTGGATGTAAGAATTTTTATTACTTTAAAACACATTGTCATAAAACTGTATTCCATAATAAAGTTGATAAAATACTGATAATCTGTAAAAAACATATCTGAGTATATAGCCACAGTAGAGAGAGGTGACTTATAAATATCAATACACTATATATACTGTATGTTTATGTCTTAACATCTCCATTGTATATCATCTTATTTCACCTTTTAATTTATAGTAAACATTTTCATGTATAAATTGTGCTTTTATGAAAATAAAACATCATATTATTATGATGAATTTATTTATATTTCTGTCAAGTTAAAAAAAAGAAAGAAAATGAAAAGAAGATTTTCTTTGAATTCTCAGAAAATATTTTGAACAGATCCTGTTCCATGTCTACTGTTGGTAAGAGGGTGATAAGTAGGCTGAAACATCTCTGTGTGGTTTGGGATGTTTGTGTACATTGTTTTAACTGTAAAATAACAGGTTAACTTCCAATGATGATAGAATGAACACAGAGTTGGTTTGTGTTGTGCTTCTGTGTTCTGTAATAGAGAGTGGGTACTCAGTAGTTGATAGACACACAATGTGACATACAGAGACTACCTGGTAGTAATGGCCTTGTTTCACAGCCATTGTTATTGTTTTCAGAGATTTTTCAACACCTAGTACCAGTTATACATAGATTTCAGAAGATTTTCTTTTGAGGTAACATTATATCCTGAGAATGACACTTTCATATTATATTTTTTTTACAGATATGTGGCACATTTGATAATATTCTAGAGACTGTAAAGGATCTATTGGGACAAGCCAAGCAAGAGTTGACCCGTGTCCAAGAGGAAATTCTCACTCACCTACAGGTAAGTTTTCAAAGAGGTGTGACAAATAAAATATGACTTGACCAGTGTCCTAGAGGACAGTTTTACTCCTCAAAAGGTAAGTTTTATATAGGTGTGATAAAACAAACAGAATTTGTCCAGTGTCAGAGAGTTCATTCTCATTCACCTACGGACAAGTTTTATATAGGTGTGATAACAGAATTTGTCTAGTGTCAGATAGTTCATTCTCATTCACCTATGGGTAAGTTTTATATGGGTGTGATAAAACAAACAGAATTTGGCCAGTGTCGGAGGGTTCATTCTCATTCACCTACGGGGAAGTTTATAAAGGTGTGATAATAGAATTTGTCCAGTGTCGGAGAGTTCATTCTCATTCACCTATGGGTAAGTTTTTTATAGGTGAGATAACAGAATTTGTCTAGTGTCAGAGAGTTCATTCTCATTCACCTACGGATAAGTTTTATATAGGTGTGATAACAGAATTTGTCCAGTGTCGGAGAGTTCATTCTCATTCACCTACGGGTAAGTTTTATATAGGTGTGATAACAGAATGTGTCCAGTGTCGGAGAGTTCATNTGCCCTTGGGGGGGGGGGGGTTATTCTCATTCACCTACGGGTAAGTTTAGCTGTCAATCCTACCTCATTTTGACCAAAATGTACCAATCTCCCTAAATAATCCCTCATTCAAGTCCAAACTCACACAAACTCAAAATCTACATCCTGTGGTCAAATGATCTCCTATTTACTGCAATGTGTGTGTAATGATCATAACAGGTGTGTTTGAATCAAATTAATGCTTTTTATACGCCCGTCGAAGACGGGGACGTATTATGTTATCACGTGAGCGGGCGGGCGGGCAAACGATGTCCGCTCGATATCTCGAGTAATTATTAACGGATTAACTTCAAACTTCACAACAAGGTTAATTACCATGAAACCTCGGACAAGTTCGATAACCGCCATTATC